AAAAAAAAAAAAAAAGGAAAAAAACACTAGATTAAAACCCATCGATAAATAATTTTTAATTACGCGTCTCTTTATCTCCTTTGCAACGCAAAACCTGCTAATATCGGGTGAAAAAATTAATTCGTGATAAAGCTCATCGGGCGAGTCGAGAGGACGATCTCAGATTGATTTCGCGATATTCTATTAACAACAACAGATTTTTGCTATAAAAACAGACAGATAAATCATGCAATCACAGTCTGTCGTTCACTGACGAAAGTGGAAGTAACTTTGAAGATGAATAAATTGATCGTGCTTCTCGGTCTCGTCGCCCTTGCGGCTGGTAAGTTTTTCCAAATAAATATTTCTGTGGAAATACTTGTCGCAATTGATGAAAAATGTGTCCCAAATTACTTGTCGCATTTGTATATATTTTTGTATATTTTCGATTATTGATACGATTTATTTTATTTGGTGAAGATAGTAGATTTATTAACATGTCGTACCACCGTGAATTTTCTCTTCAAGCCACTTGGAACTTTCATTGTAAAACGAAGTTTAAAAATTGTTTAAAAATTTATTATAAAATCATGTATTATGCGTTTATCTTATCGTGGGACGTATACGCGGCGAGACGATCATTTTTTCCGACTGTCTGTTAAGATCAACTCAATTCGATAAGAAGACGCTGTAAAAGTTGTTATCAAAATAACGTTAAAATGAATATTACTTATTAATATTATTGCATAGTATTATATAATTTCTGTAATAAATTATTATTATTTAATTATTTAGTAGAACAATAAAACTAAAAATATTTGGAACAAAACGTCTTATTTTGACATCATGAAAAAATTGTTTGTTCAAATAATACCTCAAAAAATTGAATTTATTACTTTCTTCTGTAATGCATCTTAAACACTTTTTGTTGATAATTATAGTTTTTGCACTGTTATAAAAAAATTGTAAGACACGCTTCAGCGGTAAAATTATTAATGGTAATAGCATGGGGCGTAAAATAACCAAAAATCGGCCCGGCACGGAACCAAGTGTTAACCAATTAAAAAAAAAAATCATTCGATCGTCATTTATTTATCCAAGTAGGCCAGAACAACGATAATTTAACATTTTCGAAGGCACACCAGCTGTAACATCTCAAAAGATCTGTGCAGAGTCGAAACGATGGGTGATAATTTGAAAGTTAAAGTGAAAAAGCCTGAGATGAATAACGCGGTATACATCACGCTGTTCTGAAATTTTTCACAGCGTTGTGAAGATGATAAACTGGAGCGTAGCATAAACTCGCTGCATCGGAAGAATTTGATGTGCATCGTCGAACTGTATCCCGTTTATAGAAACAAGCAAAGCTTTCAAAGACATGCGGTAGTTCAACTCTCAAAAAAATTGGTAAATGCGAAGGGAAAGAGAAAAGATCTTTCTCAAAATTAAAGAAGAAAATTAAAGACACTGTCTTGAATCAAAGAGGGTCACTTAGAAGTTTATCTAGTTGAGTCGTAAATGTGCCCAAGCTCAACGTAGAATCTTCAAGAAAGAAAAAAAAGGGAATGAAATGTTAGAATTTTTTAACTGCAAACTTGTGTGAAAATCATAGTGATGTCACCTGGCAGTAACTCGTGTAAGATAATCCACACGAGCAAAGAATTAAATATTATATAATATTAGATATTATAAATGTATAAATCTTACTATAAGATTAAATTGTTGTTAAAAATTTTCGTTTTAGTAAAGAGGTTTTCCATTTTCACCAAATTTTTCTTTTTTTCTTTCGCACATGTGTATAATTTTTTTCTTTACAATTATTTGTGACTAGTTCTTTGAAACAGAAAATAAAATGGGATATTTAAAATAGACACAGCGAGAAGCTATCATTTTAAATCTTGCACAAGGTGCAAATTCTAAACAGACAAAGAGATTCCTCCTTCGTAATTTTTTATAAAGTTAATCGAACAATATATTAGATATGTTATTCTGATACTTTCGTCTGCGACAGAAAAATTCGAATGCAACGTTTCAAATTGTACTGAACAAATAAACTCGTATTTCTCAGGCAGCCCCATAAACCAGACGGAGGACTTCGTAAACGAGATAGAGGACTCGATCAACGAAACAGAGGACGATAGCGAGATGGAAGACCTGACAGTCGAGATGGAAGACCTAACAGTCGAGATGGAAGACCAGACAGACGAGATGGAAAATCTCACAAACGAGACGGTGTATTACGAGATCGAGCGAATGGACGGTCGCATCATAGGCGGCGAAGCAACCACCATCTACGCAGCACCGTATCAAGTGAGCCTGCAAACGAACGGCCGCCACTTCTGCGGGGGTAGCATAATCGCTAAGAAATGGGTCTTAACCGCTGGACACTGCGCCACACACGCCGCCAACCAATACCGGATACGCGCAGGTTCGACCAAGGTCCACAGCGGTGGTTCGCTGCATCGAGTCAAGAAAGTGATCAGGCACAAATCCTACTCGAGGCCAAAAGGTATACCCGTCAACGACATCGCGCTGCTTCATCTCGTAGGCTCGTTCAAACTCGACAAATCGAGGAAAGCAGTGCCACTGTATCAGGGGAGTTCCTCGTCCCTCAAGGGCAAACACGCGCTGGTCACCGGTTGGGGTACTACGAGCTCGGGCCACCCGGAAACTCTGCACAAGGTAACGGTTCCCCTGGTCTCGAAAGGCTCGTGCAAGAAATCGTACCACGACTACGGCGGCATACCTAAGGGAGAGATTTGCGCCGGAGTCGCGAAGGGTGGCAAAGACTCCTGTCAAGGTGACTCCGGTGGTCCCTTGGTCGTCGACGGCAAACTCGTAGGAATCGTCTCCTGGGGTAAAGGGTGTGGAACGCCGCATTATCCAGGAGTTTACACCGACGTCGCCTACTATCGTAAATGGATCAAACGTCACAGCGGAGTGTAATCTGCTCGCCTATTGATAAGGCACTCGACCGAAAGATGCACGAATTGTAACGAGAGCGAATGTGATCGCGGCTCTATAAAACAGAGTGTAAATATGTGCTAATTTATAATGGGAATAAATGGAACAGATTCAAGTGAAAAGACTTGCCTTCACTCATTTCCTCGAGACTCACTGTGTTTCTATAAAGTAGTACTAAATTAATGCTACGTCGCGTCAACCCTAATAAATAGCGATTGTACGAAAAACAAATATGTTTTTTTCTCATGGTTGCTAAAACGTCACCTGCTTTTCTATTCGAGTTGAATAGATATTTGAATAATACTCAGCGTAAAAATATTTGATGAACATATTACGAATATATTATTGCGTATGCGTTTTGGACGAAACTTCTTAAAACTTTATTTTCATCAGAAGTTTCTTTCCAACGAAAATAAGGAAGCCTTCTTACTTCTGAAGAGTAAAAACAATAAAATTAAGTTACGATCAATCGCGTGACGACGACGATCTACGATAAGATTACTAATGGATATCTTGCAGTCATCATCGCATTATCAATTCGTATTAAAAATCAATAGAACTGTTGGAATTTTAATACTGCCAACGCGAAAAAAAAATCTATGATCTGTGAATGATTTTTATTCGGACATCCCGACTCTAATTTATTTCATTTTAATTTTGTTTTGTCGTAAGATTAATTTTATACTATGATAAACTTTTCAAAAATGAAGATCGTCGTAATATTAGATATATCTTTATGTATTTAGAAAACTTTACACTTGAGAAATAAAGAATCAACAAAACTGCTATGTTGTCATGTCCTTCATGTATTTCTCATGTTTTTATACCGTAACCATAATCTCATGAATTGAATATATTAAGATCAGATTTTTCCCAACCTATTATTCGTATTATTATTATAGCATTAATGTAACTCCATATTATAAACGATTTCAAACTACAAATTTAGATTTTGAGCCGATTTCTTGGAATTTATTTTCATCTAACTCACCTCAAATCTTTTTTATGGAATTCAAATTAAAGAAAAAAACCATGAACGCATAATTATTGTCAGACTGCGAATTTTTATGCATTCGCGAAAGATTTAATTTAATGGAATAAAAATGTTCACATAACACAACATACGAATGTCGATAAAAATATAAGAATGCATAAATATCCTCTCAGTCTGGTTATAATAATCTATCGTAATTCTTGCAAATAATTTTGACAAACTTTCGCCGCACTGGATTATTTGCAATCCTGCGTGAATTTAAAATTTTGATCGATTAATCCTGCCCTAATACTTGCGAATGAGGATCGATATGTATACGTAAACATGCTTCACATCTTTAGCTTAACATTTACATTCGTCGATTATGATAAAGTGTATGGGTTACGTGGAACAACGACGAACAAAATCGTAGAGAAGAGCTTACAATCGAGATAATACGTTGATCGATTTCATATTGAATCCACACAAAGCAGATTAGCAGATTAATTATTAATTTTACCTTTGTCTGGAATTTCCAGATTTATCGGCGATCATGATACTCTTTGTTGTCTATTGTTCGTTTTCGTATAAATACACCACGAATTTTAAAGAACGGCACACAAACGTTGGAACTCATTGGAAAGCAACATGTTCACAAAACTGTGTTTATTCGCCTTGTTGACCGTAGCGGCAGGTAACTCGATACTTTACTTTTTAATATTAATAATTATTCGCGTAATTGCAACTTGAATTGTTTGACAATTCGCTTTACCGCAAAAATATTCGATGGATCCACTTTTTGATGCTACAACAATTGTAACTGAAAATATATTTGGTAAAGACCTCAGCTTTAGAGATTCAACATAGACTTCAACGTAGAGGCTAGATTTTAGAGATTCAAAAACTTCAACGTAGAGTTAACGTTTGTTAAAGAATTTCTAATTTCATATTGTATATTGAACTACTGTGTAGTCTTTCAATTTTGTAAATGTCGTACCAGATTAAGACTGGCTATCGCGTATTTACGAGAAAAGAAAAGAAAAACCTCAACGTGTAGAATGTTTCTTTAGAATATATATAAAATATTCTTTAAGACATTTATATTTTACACGGGACAGATTTTTCCTTCGATCCCGTTTCCCCAATACAGTGATCGTAGAAATATGACGACGGTGGAACTTAAACAGGGGATAAAATTGTTATTTCCCCAGCGAATCCGTTGCTAAGACCAGCCTTGAACCCGCTAAGCCCAACGGGACAAATCGTGGGTGGAAAGGATGTGAAAATCGAAGAAGTGCCGCACCAAGTGTCTCTTCAAGCTCTTGGCTTCAGCTTCTGCGGTGGTAGCATCATCTCCGAGCAATGGGTGGTAACGGCTGCTCACTGCATGTCCTATCCAGCCGACTGGCTCACCGTGGTAGCCGGGACAGCGACTAAATCCTCCGGCGGAAGCAGCCACAAGGTAGCGGAAATAATCGTCCACGAGAATTACGTGACCAACATATACGGGGTGCCAGAAAATGACGTGGCCGTGATACGAGTTAAAACTCCCTTCAGTCTGGACAAAACTCGTCAACCCATCAAGATATTCAAGCCGAACGAGGAATCGGTCCCGGGAATTAGAGCCACCATCACCGGATGGGGTGCCATCAGAGAAGGTGGCAGCACCACCGACGTTCTCCAATCCGTCGACGTGCCGATCGTATCGAAGAGCTCCTGCAACGACGCCTACAGATCGTACGGGGGACTGCCAGCTGGACAAATTTGCGCCGCGGTACCGGAAGGGGGGAAAGACGCTTGCCAGGGTGATTCCGGCGGTCCCATGACCATCGGTGGACGTTTGGCCGGACTCGTGTCCTGGGGTTATGGCTGCGCCAGAGCAGGCTACCCTGGCGTTCACACAGAGGTCGCCGCCTTCAGCAATTGGATCACCTCCAAGACCGGGGTTAAACCGTAAAACTTTCCCTCTAAATCGAGATCACCCCCACTATCAGTTCTGTTAGTTCTATCAGTTTTCGTAATTCTTGACGAACTACTGTTTTCTGTTACACATACTGCTTGTAGAGCGCGGTTCAATAAAATTGTATCCTTCTGAAAGTTGTATTCTTTTCAGTGTTCGAGTCCGATCTCCTTTTCCCAGAAAAAAAAAAAAAAACGCTTCCTTTCGTTCAGTTGTATCGTTACAATTAACCAGAAATACCACCTCTATGGTTTGGTGAAAGTTCCTGTAAAGGACAGTGAACGCTGATTCCAATTACGATTCGTCGTTAATTTGTGCACGCTAGAGAAATCGTCATACTGTTCCACTAAAAATGTCCGCTGAACCCATTGTTAGCCATGTTACCGTACATCGACGCGAACAACAAAGCGACGTTTCCAAGCGGGCAATTCCCGCGAACCCGGGAACCCGGTTAAAGTCGAAATTAATTCTCTCTTGGCGAAACCGACAGAGTCCCCGATTCAATCTCGGCTAATGCTCCAACCCTATTCTACTTCACCCGGGTCGGCAACTATACTAAGATAAAGCGTAACTTTCATTAACAAATTGCAGCTGTATCGTTCGCAACAACAGATGAAATGTGACTTTTATGGAATTCTCGCAGGTTTGCTCGGCTACGAGATTGCGCGAGAGAAAAGGCATTAATAAAATTTCGGAGACGTTGGCCAAGTGAAGCGGGAGACGTTGGTCCTCGAGACGATCGTTATCGATGTATTAAACGACGAGGCTGAGCAACAGCGCACTAAGATCGCGCAATTAGCAGTTGATTTACACTATCAAGCGATCGAACTATGCCAAAGTTGTTTTCACCCCTGCCAGCAACCCAACTGTCGTATCAAGTCGATTTATTCACCTTTACCTTTAATTTGCACAACCCGTGTGTCTAGCATGCACGACGAACGAAGGTAGAAAACGTGATTAATCGTATTTCTTGCCTTTCGTGGAAGAGAAAATTTGAGAAAAAGTTTTAGTACGCCGTTAGGTAATTTCACACGTCGAAGTTATCTTCCCAATTATTCCTAGTTCAAGTCCTCCCGTTTATTTATAAAACAAATCAGAAATTCAGAGAATCGATGAAAATGTACTTGCCACATTTTTCTCCCGTTGTAGACTCTTTATACAAGGTGAGCCAGAAATTTCTTCCTATTTTTTCTTTTGTTTTTTTAATAAAACATCAAAATATGAGAAAAAATTAATTTTATTAGTTTTAAATTTTAGTTGAAATTAAAGAATTAATTAATTTAGTAGGAAGTGACTTTCGGCCCACTGTATATAAACAAGCTTCCGTGCAATGTTGGTGCCTTTAAAAAAGAAGGGTGAAGAGAAATACTCAATGGATAGTTTCGAAAATTCTGCCACTGGTATCAGATAGTTTGACTGAACAATTGAATTTTAGCGCAAAACTTTTTTATCATTTAGCGATTTGCACGAGTGATGCGTTACAAGTCGAGATAAAGGGACACGTGATTAATAGACACTTGGTGAAAATCGCTGTTGGCTGGCGTCCGGCCGCGCGAACCAGTGCCATAAACTTGAATCGCGTCACAGATGCCTTTAACCCATATAAAAGTAGAACTCGTCTCTCTGTCAACAAAACTTACAACATTCGAAAACTCAACCCTAACCTAAATCCAGTCGACGCGGAAAAAGACGTGACAGTCCCATTTTGGCCATTAACACTTTGACTTTTATATCACCTTGATAGCTTACAAGATTAGATTACAAATTTACAAAAAAAAAATTTATACAAAAATTTTAATCGATGCAACTGAAGAAACAGGGCTTATACGGATGTTTTACTCTATAGGGTGAGTCAAAAATCAATTCCTACTAAAATAAATTTTTCTTTAATTTTTTTTTCTAATATTTTGATTTTTTATTAAAAAAGAAATATGTAGGAAGAACCTTTGTACATTTAGATATTTTATACATTTCCCTGTATATTTTAATAGATTCTGTGCATTCTCGCGTCTTAAAATTTTTCACAAAATTCGCAACGTGTGCAATCGTTTAGTTCGATACTTTTGGTGTCTCACATTTCTATCCTATTTGATATTCGATAGGAGTCCAACTCCTCTATAAGGATCCCAAATTTTAGGGTAGTTTCATAGTTATAAGGCGTAGTGTATTATTACATTGTAAGCGCATTCGTGTCTGTAACAGCTCGACGACGGTCCTCACAGATCATGCGACAACATATGCACCCATGTGCATCGTTTCGGTGTGTCACTTTGTATGCACAGCGGTGCACATTGGAATTTCGCCAGCAAGAATGAAACTTTCCAAATCCTTCGCAAATCCTACCTTCTACCGCAACGAAGTCACTAATCGGATCAGAAATTGAGAAAATTCCGTAGACCTGCGCAACCTTCGAATCCTCCTCGATATTTTCACCTCTCTTTTTTTCGTTTCTTTCTTCTCTCTCTCTCTCTCTCTCTCTCTCTCGTAAAAGTGAACCGCTTCAACTCACGTGTCCGTCTATGTACATAGACGTATCTCGATATCCGTCAACCTGTCACTTACCGCGTTATCCGGATGATCGATCGTTCGAAAGTTCGACGAACGAAAGGAAGAAGACAAGAACGCAAACAGCCGAACGCACGGACGAAGGACCAGTCGATAAATTATTTTTAGAACGTTTGCTTGGCCAACGTGGAAATTAACGATCGAAACCTGGCAAACGAGGACGATACGATCGAGGTCAGTAGCGATTACCCTGCGAGGAAACAATACGTTTACCTTGAACATTGGATCTCGCCTGCGGCGGCCCTTTAGCTACGAAGGATACCTACGTATCTCGCGCGAAAAGGATTTCTCTCCCTCGATAAACTCGATCGAATGCAATACACGGGGGTTCCATCCTTTATAATAAACAGGACCTGCCACGTAATGACTGAAGCAAAGGTACTTGTACGTTTCGAGAATTTTCATACTTAAATTTATGGAAAACTTTTACACTTTTACACTGTATGTTATATATAAAAGATTTGGTGCTGTGACAATTGTCGTAATTATATGGAAGTTGCAAGATGCTTGTTGGAAGTCCTCTGTGAAATGTATGCCTACTTATACTTATTGTAATTTCAATAGGTATTCTCCGATTTATATCAAACATTTTATCGATGTAACACGCATTTCAAAAATGTCATGGCTCGACGTTTGTTTTGTGTGACAGACACGTGAAAACCGGAGATTTCGAGGATTAAAAAATGGAAATTTAAAAACATAACGTTCGACCATTGTTTCCTAAAATCTATTCCTTTTTTGTGGGCGTAGTAAATGGTTTTTAAATATTTTACGAACTACATACAATACACTGTATAACGTCAAGAGAATATCTGAAGGAAATTTTGAAAAAAGGAGCGTAGAACTAGGTTTCAATATAATATTAAAAAAAAAAAAAAAAATACTTTCTAAAAATCTCATCGAATAAGGAAACAATCACCCTTTGACGAGAATCGTGATCGAAATCTTTCAATATCGTGTCAAACCCTACACGTCCCTTTTACGGGGAAATTCAATTATCTCATTGACTCGTTAAGCGTGATAAATTATCACGTGGCCGTACACGCTTTCAATCGATATTTATAGAAGTCTCTTAATATTTATAGGCCGACCGACTTGATATTTATAAAGCCAGTGCAAGTGGCTCGACAGTTGAAAAAGGGCGGAAAATGGAGAGAGACGGGAGAGAAAGAGAGAAGAAAGGTAGAAGAAAGCAGAAAGCGAGCCGCAGAGAACCAGATATTCCTGGCGCGAACATCTTCTCCCTCTCAGCTTCCTCGTTATGAAAAGTATACGAATACCCGGCAACTTTTAATGTCCCTCCGCATGATTACCGCCTTTGATTTACTTCTTGTTCCCAGCAAAATCAGAGAAAACGTCAGGGAAAATGTAGTTTCGCCACCCGGGGAGAGCGCGTGAACTTTTGACCCCGACTCTAGAAGCGCGTGGCAGCGCTCGCTCGGACTAGGTTGCTCGAAACATTCCTCTTTCACCCTCTGAAGACAGCAGCAGCAATCTTATTCGTTTAACCGAATGATCGTCGAAACGTGTAAATATATTGTGCATGGAGATCTCGTTGAATTAAACGTCGAGGTTTAAATTCGCCGAGCGAATCGGACGCACCGCCTCGGAATGTTTCTCCATTTCCCCGAGGGCGGAAATCGTTTTCCCCGTCGTATTATCGACGATGCAAAGTTCGATTCGTTCATAAGGCCGTAACACACGGCAAGATACCGATGGAATCGACAAGCATATCGTATATGCATAAATGAATATGCATGCAGGCGGGTAACATCGACGACTCACTCGAAAGCTTCATCTTTGAAAACGTAATTAACCGCATACGTGCTTAATACCGAAGGAAGCGAGGCCTGCGTGGCTCGAGCGTCCTCGGCCATCCTCGAGCATCCTCGAGCGTCCTCGAGCGCAGCTCGATCGCATGTTTTATAAAACTACAAATACAAAGTGTGTCCGTCGACCTTCGGTGCACATCTACTCTATTTATCGTGCTTGTTAACTCCTATATACCGCCCGTATGCGCATCACTTGTTTTCTTTCTCCCGGAATTTTCCCCAAAAAATTTTCTAGAACTCTTGAAAAAAAGGAAAAAAAAAAATTCTTTTGCCCGATGCACGCAACTGAGCTTACAATAATCTCCGCATTCACGGATAATCAAAAACACATGGAAACGTAATGGAATAAAGCATAAAAATTGTGCAGAGGAAATTCTGCGATCTTTACAAAAATCTATTTCTTTTAATCATATCACGATAAAATGGAAATGTATTAACTTTCGAGCCAGTAAAAATTTAAATTTCAGTTTACGCGTTAATGCAACCGAAGGCTCAACGAGGCTTTGTTTTACGCGTTATTTCGCAGCAATTATAGCAATTAAATTATAGCAATTATCGCGAGGTTTCCAGTATTCGTTAATCCGACAGTAATTAACAGTGCACGAATATATAGAATGGACAGAATACAATCGTAATATTTAGTTACATAAAATTATAATATTTACATAGATATCGTTACTTATAAACTAATATTAAAGTAATCATTAACAATCGAAATTCGTTTCATCGAGACATGAGACAAGGTTGCGACGTCGATGTCACTTGCACATCGTGCAAGTATGGCACCGAAGAAAGGGTGTCGTAACCTAAGAGAAAATCCTTCGACGCTACAACTCGTTTTAGTTTTAATCGTTCGATCGACTTATTCCTAACAGAAATGCCACTGTCACGACGTTTAGGATTTAGGAAACAAACACGTCAAAAAAGCCCAGAGTGACGCTTAGCTGGTATTATTTCTGGCACCAATCGTATCTCGTAAAAATTCGCGTGTTGCACGTCTTAGACACGCGTGACGTCTCGCGCTGAAACCCCTTGAGCACCCCGTTCAACATTCAATAAACAATTCGATAAGTATCGATCCAATATGGCGGATCAATGGCGAACAAAAGATTGGGATCGGAAGGTCCCTTCCGTCCCGAGCGAATACGATCGAATTAAACGTGGAATCGATCAACCAGTTTCGCTGGTTTCAGTAGTTTCATTTCGATTGATTCGTGTTTAATTAATACATTACACTCTACGAGCTTGCGCAAAACATAGTCAATAGGACACTGAGATTAGAAACAAAAGAAAAATTCGTGTGTCGTCTGTCACATGCAACGGTCAAACGTCTTTTGTTTACTCAAGCAGCTTAAATCAAAAACGAGCAACACTCTATATTTGAGCTTACGTCACGAAACGTACCTTACACTCAAAAAGAGAAAAAGGAAGCAAGAAAAGAAAGGCTAGTTAACTTCTGCGTTCGAACACAATGTATCGATGACGATTATCGATCTAGCAAGTTCGCGCTTTTTCAGATAGAAAATTGCTTGAAAATGTCTCTGAAGTTATGTCACTGACAAATACAAATTTGGCGCACGATCAAACG